CTCCCTGACCGTGCTGGGGGGCAGCGCTCGAACCGCGGACGGCGTCGGCCACCCGCCCGTCGGCGGCGTCGGCGGCGAGCTGGGTGCTGCGGGAGGCGTCGGCCACCCGCGCGTCCGCGGCAGCCCGCGCGCATCCCACGCCGCCTCCCCTGCTGTGGTCTGGAGCGGCTCCAGCCCCACCTCCTTGTCGCAGGCGGCGGCGTTGCTGAGACAGGGTGACCGGGGGCCGCGAGAGATCTGGATCCTCTCGCGCAGCAGCCTGGGCTCCGAAGGCGGGGTCCCGGTCCATGACCTCGCTGAGCAGCTCCTCTAAGCTCAACCCGTGGGCGGTGTCTGCCGCCCGCCCGTCGGCGGCGTCCTCAGTGAGTTGGGCGCCATTCAGGTCGATGCTCCCAACGTCGTTCTCGAGGGGCGCCGCGACCGCTCTGGGGCCGAGGGCCCGCGTCCTCTCTGCGGGCGGCCCCCCCAGCCCTCGCCTCGCAGAGCCTCGCTGTATGTCGTAGTTGTCAACGCAGGTCTCCCTGTCGTCGTTGGCCTCCGTGTCTCTCTCTGGGTCGGAGTCGCCTGCCGCCCAGGTCCCTGTCTTGATGATGATCGTGCCCCCAAGAGCGCCTATAATCCTCGGGGACGTGCCATCAACGAATCTGGCACTCGACGCTGGTCCTGCTCCGCTAGGTCCAGCGCGATGTGCGGGGTAGTGGTCGGGCGCCCCGCCTGCCATTGGCTCGGGCGGGTTGGGCCCCTGCCACTGGCTGGGCGCCTGAGGTAGGGGCCTGGTCGCTGTTCTCCTTGACCTTGTCCTTCTTGCGCCTGGCCAGGGTCTCGCTGGTGCGTCGCTGAAGTTCAGCGCGGCCTGCACCTGTAGAGGGGCAGGTGCCTCTGGGCGGTTCCGCTGCGGGCGGCACCGATGCAGCGCCTCCAGCAGTGCTCGCCTGAGGCTGGCTGGCTGGGTCAGCTGGTGCTGCTGCTGCCGCGGGAGGCTGGGGAACCCTTGTCGTTGTCCCCTTGGCGCCTCTTGACCAGCCGCTGCGCGTGCTCCTGGTGCTGCTGCTTGACGGACAGCGCGTGCTCAGCGGCCTTGGCGAAGACTTCCTTTGTCCAGGTTGTGATTTGTTCCGCCAATGCTCGCTGTCGTCTGCTGATCTCCTCGCGGCCCTCGTTCGTGATGTCTCCTTCCTCGAGGTCGAAGACTGAGCCCATGTCGATCTTGATGCTGCTGCAGGTGCCATGGAGCAGCGCGCCCAGGGCGAGCACAGGCTGCTCAGGGGCCTTGGCCTTGTGCAGCTCGTGCAGCTGAGCGGGAACCTTGGAGTGCTGCGCGCTGAAGTCCTCAAGCTCGGCGTTGAGCTGGGCGACCCAGCCCCTCTGGCCGTCGAGCTCGCGCTCCCATTTGTCGAGCTTGTCCAGGGCCGACTCGAGCTTCTTGGCGTGCTTGTCGCGGGCGTTGGAGATGTTGGACAGCTGCAGCTCCAGGGACTTCTTGGGTCCTCCTGCCGCCAGGCGGATGGTCGTGTCGATCCTCGCCTTGCAGCGCTCCTGGAGCTTTGTGTTGCCCATCTTGGTGGCGACTGTGTACAGCTCGTCGACCTCGGGGAGGTCCAGCTTGTCCACGTTGAAGCCGTCGTGCTCGGAGGGTTGGCTGCCAAGCCCGCTGCACCATTACCGCCAGTAGCCATGCTACTGCGGTCCGCCCAGCGCCCTTGCGCCGCTGGCGGGGCTGCGTCGCCTGGCTCGTGTCTGGGTGCTTGGCAGTGCTTGCGCCACGTCCAGGCCCCGAGGTTCTTGCCGCACCCGCACTCCGTGCACTTCCAACTGGGGCCTGCGCGCCAGGGCGCCGCGTCGCGCCACCAGCTCCTGGGCGCCATGGCTACTGGAGCGTCGGTTCCCGAGCCTGGGGCTGACCAGGCGGGTTCGTCGTCTTGCTCCGAGAAGCCTCACAGGATGCTGCGTCGCCTGGGCGGCTCACGCAGTGGTGCGATGAAAGAAACTGGGGTCTAGCCGCGGACTAGCGGTATCGACTTGTTTCCGCTGGGAAACCAAAGCCTTGAGCCAAAATGGCTACGGGAGGAGGAGGAGGAGGAGGAGGAGGAGGAGGAGGAGGAGGAGGAGGAGGAGGAGGAGGAGGGGGAGGAGGGGCAGAGGAGGAGGAGGAGGATAAGGAGGAGGAGGAGGAGGAGGGGGAGGAGGAGGGGAGGGGGGGGTTGGGCGGGCGGGCCTACTGCAGCGTCGCTGATGCACCTCGGGCTCGCTCTGGGTCTCCCTCCCCCTCCCCCCCCTTTCCTCCTCTGCCCCCTCCCCTCTCCTTCGCCGCTCCTCGCTCGCCCCATCGCTCCCGACGATCCCCCCCCCCCCCTCCATTCGCCTCGCTCACTCCCGCCCTTCCCCCCCCCCGCCTCCCCTCCGTCGACGCCCGAGGTATCCGATAGAACTCCGGTCCAGGGCAGCTCGACTCTGGTCTGGGCCCCCCGAGGCGCGAACCAGGAGCGACCTCCTGACCACCTTAAGCCCGGATGATTCGGGAATGGCTGGACGTCCGAAAACTCCGGGAGCTCTCCAGTCCAGGGCAACTCCTGTCTGCGCCCCCGAGGCGCGAACTAGGAGCTACCCCTGACCACCACAAGCCCTGATGATGCGGGAATGGCTGGACGCCCGAAGTATCTGGGAGAACTCCAGTCCAGGGCAACTCCAGTTTGGGTCCCCTGAGGTGCGATCCAGGAGCTACTCCTGACCACCTCAAGCCCGGATAATTCGGGAATGGCTGGACGTCCGAGGGAGAACTCCAGTCCGGGGCAACTTCGCTTTGGGCCCCCTGAGGCGCAAATCAGAAGCTACCCCTGCTGATTCTGGAATGGCTGGACGTCCGAATTATTCAGGGAAGCTCCGGTCTGAGACAACTCTGGCTTGGGCATCGAAGGCGCGAATCAGACCTATGATGATTCAGGAATGGCTGGGCGTCCGAATTATCCTGGATAGCTCTGGCCCGAGGCAACTGGAGTCGGGGCCTCCGAGGCGCGACCACACCAGCCCTGCTGATTCTGGAACAGCCGGGCGACCGAGTCATCCAGGAGAACCTTGGCCCACGGCAACTCCCGCCTGGGGCCCCCGGGGCGCGAACGAGGAGCGACCCCTGACCATCGGGAGCCGGATGGTTCGGGCATGGCTGCACGTCCAAGGTATCTGGGAGCACTCTGGTCTGGAGCACCATTGGTTTCGGCCGCCGTGGGGCATGAATCGGGAGTTATTGAAGGGGCCCACAGACACACACACACACACACACACACACACACACACACACACACAAATACACACAAATAGAATGATTCCCCATATTTTCCTATATTTTCTGGGGTTTTGTCTTCCCCCCCACTTCCCATATTTTCCCATCTTTTCCTGGGAATCGAGGATTAAGTGTGTCTGTGTGTTTTGTTGTCCCTCCTGAGTTATCCCTGACCACCCCGGGCCCCTCCGCCGCCCCATGGCCGCACGACCCGGACCCCCGACGCCATGATCTTTTCGCCACGTCGACCCCCCAAAAGGCCTCGACCCCTTCCCCGGGATCGGCTGTCAGCCCGAGTCCTGCTGGGCGGTCCCGAGGCCCAGCGAGGGCCCCGAGGGGCCGATAACAACGAAAAGCTTTCCATTCGTGAGCTGTACGCGACGCGAGGGGGCCTGGGCGCGGAGGTTGCCGCCGCCGCCGGCCCAGCCGCCGCCGCAGCGGCCGCCCATGGCCGGCGGGCGCCGCCGAGTCGGCAGGCGGGCCTGCCGCCGCGGGTCGGCGGGCCCATCGCGCGCGCGCGCGGGGGCGCGCACGCGACCGCGATCTGCCGCGCGTCGCTCCTCGGATGCGGCAGCGCGGCGGCGCGTGTGGGGTGGGGTGGGGGGCGAGGAGGACCCGGAGGAGGACCCAGAGGAGGAGGAGGGGGAGGAGGAGGAGGAGGAGGAGGAGGAGGAGGAGGAGGGAGGAGGAGGAGGAGGAGAAGGAGGAGCAGGAGGAGGAGGAGGAGGAGGGAGGAGGCGAGGAGAGAGGGGGAGGGGGAGGGGGAGGGGGAGGGGAGAGGAGGGAGGAGGAGGAGGAGGAGGAGGAGAAGGAGGAGGAGGAGGAGAAGGAGGAGGAGGAGGAGGAGGGGAGGACCAGGAGGAGGAGGAGGAGGAGGAGGAGGAGAAGGAGGAGGAGGAGGAGGAGGAGAAGGAGAGGTGTTTTTTACGTCCTGGCTACGAGGTCGTAGGCTGCGGCCAGGTCGCATGAGCCCTGCCGTCTTTCAGGATACAGAGGACACTACTAAGGTGAAGAGGATGAGGAGAAAGAGGAAGAAGTCAGGGCGAGGAGCAAGACGGAGGTAGGAGGACAAGGAATAGGCAGTAGAGGAAAGATGGAGGACAAGGGGAGGGAGCGGAGGGAGAAGGGGATGGGAAGGAAGGAGGAGCATGGAGGAGAGTGCAGGCAAGAAGGGGATATACTAGGATGACGAGGAGGAGGAGAAGGAGGAGGAGGAGGAGGAGGAGGAGAAGGAACTGAGGAGGAGGAAGCAAAGGAGAGGAGGAGGAGGAGGACTTGAGGAGAAGGAGGAGGAGGAGGAACTGAGGATGCGGAGGAGGAGGAGGAACTGAGGAACAACTGAGGAGGGAGGAGGAGGAGGAGGAGGACTTGAGGAGAGGAGGAGGAGGAGAGGAGGAGGAGGGAGGAGGAGGAGGAGGAGGAGGAGGAGGAGGAGGAGGAGGAGGAGGAGGAGGAGGAGAGAGGGAGCATTAGATGACCAGGGCTGGTGCAAGCACATACGGGAGGAAGAGTGAGAATTATAATGGTGGAGGGGGGGCATGAGGGGGAGGGGGGGAAGCGGATGGGGAAGGGGGAGGGAGGGAGGCAGGAGAGAAGGAGGAGGAGCAGGGTGAGAAACAGGAGCCGTGCGCAGAGGGACGTGCGGGGGAAAGGGAAAAGGGGGAGAAGAAGGGGAGGAAAGGGCGGAGGAGGGCGAGCAGGAGGAAGGACGGAGACGAGGGATGCGCAGGAACATGAGCAGGAGCCGTGGGAGGACGACGGCAACAGCCTCCGCGCCAAGAGATCTGCACGGGAGCGCACGCGCGCGCACGCCCACACCCGGCGCACCAGAGAGGCGCCCCGCGCGCGCTCCGCCGGCGGCCGAGGCCCGCTTCCCCGACGAGCCGGCGGAGAGGCGGGCCAAGGATTGAGCAGGAGGAGGAGGAGGAGGAGGAGGAGGAGGAGGAGGAACCGCTGTAGCCCTACCGCCCACCGTCCCGCCATTCCTGTAGCCCTACCACGAAATGCTCTTAGAACCCAAAGATGTTCTCATCGGCGGTCGGCAAACCTCCCTTTAGTAAACCTCCCTTCAGTGACAACGGCCTGGGACCGAAACGGACGGACCTGGACCCGCAAAAGTGTCGGCCGCGACGCCCTCGCGCGAACCGAAAACGGCCAATTCACTAATCGACGTGTCAGGGTAGGAGGTCTGTCCACCCCCGATAAGTACAAAAACCATGTTCTTAGAACATAGGCCCGATGTGCTAAAGCAAGACAGGCTCCGCCGGAAATGTTCTGAGAACATGTCGTGGAAACCACCAAAGGCTCTGAGAACATTGCTTGGTAGGGCTATAGGCGGGCCAGGACGCTTCGCCGCTGCTCGAAGGACGTGTGGCGGGGGATGACCACGTCGATAAGGCGGGTTCCCGAAATCCGAGATCCCGGAACCCAACAAGCACATGCCATCTCTCGAGAGCCGACGTTTGCGTGCGTCCGCCGGCCTCCGCTGACGCAGACGCCTTCTTCCCGCTCCTGCAGGCCTTCCGCCGCACTCCGCCGGGGCAGCGACGTGGACTCCTTCGACCCTCGGTCACCACGCTGCGCAATCGCTTCTTCGGACATGGAGGCTGCTGCTTGCTTCATGCAATCTGCCCGTTCACATGTTTGACGTTTTGGAAGGGATGGCTAGACCACGCAACACATCCTCCCGGAAAAGAGCGGAGAAACCACCACTGTTCTTTGTGAAGCCCATGCGCCAAGTCCAACGGTGCAAGCTAGTTGGCCCTCCGCTCACTCGTCTTCCTTCTCCTCGGCCTTGTCCTCTGTTTTCTCATCCTCCTTGGTCTGCGTCTTGTCCTCCTTCTCTTCCTCCACATCCTCGCCCGCAAGGATCTTGGCTTTGCGATCCTCCTTGTTCTTCTCCCAGTCTGCGACCTTCTCCTCGTACTTTGCCAATTCAGCCTCCAGCTTCTCCAGCGTTGGCGGTATGTCATCGAGCGTGATCGGCGCGTTGAGCTTGAGCTGGTCAAAGAGCTTGAACGTTTCTGCATTATGCTTGATCGGCTTGCCAGTGCCCTCTTTGCCCTTCGGCTTGGAGCCCTTACTCTTCTTGGCCTTCGTGGGCTCGAACCAGAACTCATCCCGGTCGTCCTTCTTCCCCAGGACCTGCAAGCCATCCATGTTCTTGTGCTCGATGTCCTTCGCTTCCTCCTTCTTCTCCACCTCCTTCGAGGCCGTTAGGCTCTTGCAGAATTTGATTGTCTGCTCAATCAGCGTAATCTCTGTCACAAAGGGCTGCTCGTCCAATTTCTCCACCTTCTTCTGGCGGTTCCGCTCCTCCCACTCCTTCTGCCTGGCCTCGCGCTCCGCGGCGTACCTCTCCTGCTGCTCCTGCCTCTTCTTGTTCAGCAGCTCCCGGAATTTTCTCTCCTCCTCGCGGAACTCCTCGCGGATCTTGTTCCTCTCCTCCTGCTTCTCCCTGATTTTCTGGTTGAGCTCGTTTCGCTCCTCATACGCGTTTTGATCGCCCAGCTTCCCCTCGTACTCCTTGTTGAGCGCGTCTCTCTCCTCGAGCACCTTAGACTTCTCCTGCATCCAGTTCCGGATCTGCTCGTTGATCGTCTGCAGAGTCTGTTTGATACCGCCGCCAGCGTCGAAGCTGCTCAGGCCTTCCTCCAACTTGTTGACGTGGGAAACCTTCGGGCGGTTGCGCTTCAGCTCCTGGATCTCTTTGAGGAGCTCCTTCTCCTCCTTCAGCGGGATCGTCTCGGTCTGCAGGCGGTATTCGATCGTGCGCATCCTTTCGTCCATCTCTTCCTCACTCTTGTAGCCGATGGCAGCTTTCATCTTCTTCAAATCCTGCACCATCTGGGTCTTCTCGCCCTTCTTCTCCGTCACACCCTTCTGCAGCTCCTCTTTCTGGGCATGGAGGGCATCGATCTTCTCTTTGAAGCCCGCGATCTTGGCGGAGATCTCGCTCTTCTTGCTGAAGAACTCGTCCTTCACGCCAGAACGAGAGTTGATCTGCTCGCTCAGCTTATCCTTTTTCTCCTTCATCTTGTCAATCTCCGCCGTGATGGCTTCCATCTTCTTTTCCATGGCTGCCTTGTCCGGCCCCGGGATGTGTCCGGCGGACTCGTCCTTCGGACCATCGGGCTTGGCCTTCGGCTTGGCCTTGGCATTGGCGTCTGCCTTGGGAGCCATCGCCTGCAGACCGAATGGAACAGACTGCTGGAGCTGCTGCTAATAGGAAACCATACGCCCGGAATGCGCTCAAGCCACGCGGCTTGAGCCAAAACTGCGACCTACGGAGGAGGAAGAGACAAGGAGGAGAGGAGGACGCACCCATCGGACCCAACAATGAAAGGTGGACGAAACGAGCGGGGGACGAAACGAAAACGGACCAAACGAAAGCGGACGAAACCAAAGCGTCCAAAACAAAAACAAACGAAAACAGATGAAACGAAACCCCGCTACGACTGGGACCGCGAGACCCCGACACGCCCATCAAACTGATTCAGATAGCGACGTCAGAACCACTGAATGCAAACACATGGTGGGGAATCTTGGGGAATCATTTTTTATATACGCACACCCTACTGTCCCTCCCTTCTCGGTCTTCTCTCCTATCTCCTGCGTCCTTCCTGCTCTTGGGTTCCCGCGGGGCCTCGAGGGCCACCTTGAAGCCATGTTCGGCCGTCTGGGGGGGCATCTTGAAGGTTCCTGGGGCCCAAGCGGACCGTCTTGGGGCTCTCTCGGGCTCCTCTGGGGCGCTCTCGACCCGTCGTCTGACGCTTTCAGAAGCCGTCTCTGGGCATCGCTCGGACGTCCATTTCCTGTGTGTTTTAGGTGTCGTGTGTGGCATTTTCGCCAAATGATCAAGGATGCTCCTCGATGGTCCTCACCGAAGGAACAATGCACACGTCCGAGCGATGCCGAGGTCTAGGGGGCTCTCTGGGAGGTCTCTGTGGCCGCAGTGGGAAACTCTGGGGCGCTTGGGGGGCCGTCGGGTGGCCCTGTGGGGCTCCTCTTGGGGCAGGCTGGGGCCATTTGACGACCATCCAGAAGCCTCACAAGCCACTCGGAATCGAAGCAGCGAAATCTTCAGAAACTCACGGTTTCCTTACTTATATGGCCCTCTCGAAACTCCCGTGGAGCCAATCCTGTGATAAAATCAGCAAAATTTACCTCTCGAGATCCTTTCGGGGGCCATGTTGGGCCCGTCCGCGCGGTCCTTGTGGTCTCTTCTCGCCAGCTTGCGGCCATCTGGGAACCTCTATGGCCATGTTGGTCCGTCTTGGCGGCCCCTCTGCGTCCCCTGGGGCTGTCAAGCATGTGGCGTTGCTCGGAGCACCGACGAGGGCCCACCGGCCCGAAGGACTAAAGTCTGGTGCGAGGGGTGGGGCGGGGGCAACGTTTTGGAAAAGTGGGGGCCCGGGAGCCTTGTCGCGGGTTGCCGCGCCCTCTCAGGGGGCTTCTTGGTGCGTCCTGGCGGAATGCTGGACGCCTTGAAACCGTGTCGGGCTGTCTCGGAACGCTCTTGGGGCCCTCGGAGCGCCTCCTGGAAGCGTCCTGGGCAGTTTGGAGCCTGGAAGCTGTGTTGGCTGGTTGTGGGACGACGCGGGGCCGTTTCGGAACTCCGAGGGCGCTCAAGGGATCCCCTGGGGAGGGCGGGGGCCGCGCTGTACGAGCGGCTCGCCACTCTGGTGTCCCGGAAATCTGACCTCCCATGTGAGTGTGTATATGTATAGAGATAGATGTGCAATCTACATTTATGCTCATACATATATATATATATACTGTTGTGGAGACAGACAGACATGCATGCATCCATATGTACAAGTCTACGAAACTAAGCAGACTCATCTGGATATACGTATCATTGTATACATATGCATATGACTATGCAGATGTGTTTGTATACTATACGCATATGCACATGTATCAGTAAATGCCAGACACATGCATACATACACACATCCATATATGTATATGTGCATATGTAGGTTGCATATATGTGTATACATATATATTTATGGTTATATAAAGGTAGTTGTGTGTGTATGTACATGTATGGGTGTATGCGAATAAACTTTGGATTTGCAACTGCACATGTATTTGTATACGGACACGTGGAACTTAAACTGATGAATGATCTCGAACATGGAAATCCATGTGTGTGAGCATCCTCTTCCGCAGGAGGGCTATATGCAGGGTGGCGCACCAGAACATTGAAGGCATCAACAGGACCCATGCGGGTACCATGCGACGACCAGCTGGTGGTGGAGCTCGACGTGAGGATCGACGAGGAGACGGCTCTGCCACGGGACTGGCTCAGCTGCGCGCAGTACGACTCGCGCAAGAGTCTCGCGGGCCTCTTGGACTCTTCTTGGTGGCCTCTCGGGGCCTTCTGGAAGTCTCTCTGGGCCGAGGGCTCGAAAAGTCCGCCCGGGCCCCCGTCTGAACCCTCCGTGAAGTCGTCTTGGGGGCCTCTGGGGGGGCGTTTCCAGCGATCCGGGGCCGTCTTCGGGCGATCTGCAATGGCCTCAGCGCGCCGGCCGGGCTCCGGGCAGCCCAGTCCACACAATTGTGGTCGGGGGGCTGGTCCCAGAGCCCCCGGACTTGGTCCCCCGTGATCCGCCGGCCCCCTGGTGGGGCCACCAGGCTGTAGGGCCTAGGGTTTGCTGCTCCCTGCGCCAGTTCCAGATTCCTGTTTACACCGTCACAATACTTGATGCTGCTTACTGTTCCTTGTTGTAGACTGCGCGAGGGGGCGGGAACCGAAAACCAGCAAACCTAGCGCCCCCTGGCAGGGTTCTCAGAATTCCTGAGGGGGGGGGGGGCGTGGGACATGTAAAAATACATTAAACTCGCGCCTCCGAAACCATAAACCCTCGTAAATCTAACAATATTCGCGCCACCGAGGCCATAAACAACATTCGCTTTCCCGAAACCATAAAACCTTGCAAAATAAGTCGTATTCGTGTGCCCGAAACCAGAAACGCTCGTAAAGTATGAAATGCTTTCGTCCCCGAGACCACAAACGTTCACACATCACAAAATATTCGCGTCTCCGAAACCATAAGGTACATTATGCAATACTCGCGTCTCCGAAGCCTACATGAAGCAGAATTTGTGACCCCGAAGCTATGAACCCTTGTAATATACGACGTAATCGCCTATCCGAAATCATAAGCCTTCGAAAGTTACAATATCCGCGTCGCCGAAGCCATACACCTGCGTAACTTACGCTATACTTGCGACCCCGAAAACCATAAACCCTGGTCAATTACGCGCTATTCGCGTATCCGAAGCCATCAACCCTGGGAAATACCGTTATATTTGCGTCTCCGAAACCATCAACCTTTGTATATTACGTTCAAATTACGCTATATTCGCGTCCCCGAAACCACATGTCCGAAATTAGATGGGAAACCTCAGTGCACAGCACACGGAGGCAGGTTCAAAATGCAACGCTGATTTCAACAATATCATCAGAATCTCAATTTCCCTTGCCGATGCTGCTTCATGGCAGCGCCGAGTCCTCATGATTTATCTCTTGCAGAGCCACTTATCCGAAAGAGGGGACCGGCGGCAGGGGGCGAAGCCCTTACGGGTATGTATTATCGTGTGCACGTACAACTATATATGTGTATATATATAGACATACACATATATATACATATATATATGCATGTGCAATACGAAAAGCATTGGCAAACAGATATGTTGTAAGCACGCTTACATACTTGCATGCAGACATACACATGCATGTGCATATACGTGCACATACACATGCATGTGCACATACACAACGACATACAAACAGCCATATGCCATTGCATGTGCATACACATGCATATATATAGATATATATATATATACATACACATATGTATATGTATATGCATGCGCCCTCGCACATATCTACACCTATACGTCGAAATTTGTTCATAAGCAAGAATATGCAAGTCCACATATATATATATATATGTATATATACATATGCATGCATACCCACATACATATACACATACATATACAGACACAACGTCGCATTCGTAGATGTACACAGGCACAACCGTATGCATACATATGCGTAGACCTACGTAAGCGCATACATCCATATACGCGATATATAGTTCTATAGACATGCGTATGCATATGGATGTACATCTGCGAATACATGCACATGCACACATGTATACATATATGTATACATACATACATAGAGATATACACATCGATGCAATCGTACACGGCCACGTCCACTTTGCAGCGTCAGCAATCACCATGCACGGGATGAAAACAGCCAACTTGCGGCTGAACACGCCGGTGATGGCGGGCAGGTTGCGTGAACCCTCTCGCGTTGGCCATGGCAGCCGTCCCAATGGAGAGCCCTCGTCATGCGAACAAAGTGGACGGCGGCATTTCTGAGATGGTTTCGGCGGGATGAGCAGTAGTAATCATGCTCGCCGCGATACGAAGTCCCAGCAGAAATTGGGGCAAACGGCGGCGGCCAGGCGCACGCCCCTGGAAACCAGCCAGCACACGAAGCGACGGGGTGTCGACGAGCGGCGTCCAGGCGCGCGCCCGGGGAACCCAGTCAGCACACACGTGGCAGCGACGAGGCGACGGGCCGCGTCAGGGCGCAGACCCGGGAAACGGATCCCGTCCAAACACTTTTTTTGATCCGCGGGTCGAGAGCGCACCTCTTCCGGTCGAAGCTAAGCGGGCCGCGCGAAGCTTGAAGTAGGCAGAGAAGAGGAGTGAGGAAGCGGCGGAGCCTCAGAGCGAGGCCGAGAGGAGGCATAGCCTCGGATACAGGCGGTGCCGAAGCCGAAGTTCCTGCAAAGGGACGCCTTCGGCAGGAGCCCGGTGGCGGATCCCGTCCGAACACTTATGCAAACCAATGTGCAATCACTGCTTCGGGGGAAACTCCGGCGCGATGTTGGAGCCGAGCGAGCGGGAACCTCCGGGAGCCTCAGGAGGTCCGCGCAGCCACGATCGCCTCCAGAGACCAAGCCTTGATCCTTCTCGTCCTCCTGCCTCCTCCGCCAGGCCGAGCTCTGCCTCTCCGGGAATCTCCGGGAGCCTCAGGCGGTCCGCGCAGCCACGCTATAGCCTCCAGAGACCAAGCCCTGATCCTTCTCGTCCTCCTGCCTCCTCCGCCAGACCGAGCTCTGCCTCTCCGGGAATCTCCGGGAGCCTCAGGAGCTCCGCGCAGCCACGCTATAGCCTCCAGAGACCAAGCCTTGATCCTTCTCCTCGTCCTCCTGCCTCCTCCGCCACCCACATTTCGGGAGC